AGTGCTTTGCACCCAAACACACAGACAGACATCACGTTCATATTGGTAAGTTTTAATTTCCCATCACAATCAAGACAAACAGGATTATTTGAAAGATTCACCCACTTAGGGTGGTGGAGTTTATATGCCCCTGATGATCAGGGTCTCATAATTCTATGCCTGCTTTGTACTGAAGTCTATAATCAGCCTCCTTAGTCTTGCTGATGTTTAGGAGGAGGTTGTTTTTCTGGCACCAGTTCTCCAGGTTTCTAATCTCTTCTGATGTTGTCAGAATAACAGTGTCGTCAGCAAACTTGACAATGGAGGTGGTATCTGATTGGTTACACAGTCATAAGTGTACAGTGAGTACAGCAGGGGGCTTTAAACACAGCCCTGAGGCGCTCCAGTGCTGAGTGAGATGGAAGGAGACATGTTTTTTTTTTCACTGTCTGTGAGGAAGTTGAGGATCCACTGACACAGGATCAATGACACCTAAATCCTTCAACCTGGTGAAAAGCTTTGAGGGAATTATTGTGTTAAACTCTGAACTGTAGTCCATGGACAGCATCCTAGCATAATTCCCTCTGCCAGCGTCCAGGTGACTCGGGGATGTGTGGAGCAGGTGTGATATGGCATCGTCTGTGAAACGATCAGTCAGCTGTTTTTTGCTGAAGGATAAAATATTGGTCTAGACCTAATATCTATTATTTTCAAGATGTCTAAAGACACACTCCCACCTCTGTCACATTGCAGTGAAACAGAACAACCTTTTTGAATTCAGAACTTTTATGGTCAAAGTTCTCAAATGGCTTTTAGCTTGATTCACATCCGGTGACTGAGGAGTAGCAGGTCTAAGTGCATTGTGGGACAAATTCACTCGAATTGCATTAAGATGAAGTCCGTGGCTTTCAGGTAACAGCTCATGCAGAAGACTGTGCTGTTGGTCTTTACCCACCTGTCACAAGTTTTATCAGTGCACATACTCTCAAATATTCTGGGTGGATGTTGGATGCTATAAAAGGGGGAAGAAAACTGAGTTTCTGGATTAAAATGTTTTCATATTTTTTACAAAGTGATCACAAGGAGAGAAAAAAAAGTCCATAAGAAGAAATCATCAGACTAGCACAGACTACTACACCAAAAACAAGATTTAACAAGAACTGCACTAATACAACATGAACTGTGGATTGTTTCCCCCATATTTTTTTGTTGAAGAAAATTTCTTTAATCCAGATTTAGTACTTTTTGTCACACTTACAACAACAACAACAATAATATTGTTATACTACTATATAGCACTATTGTTTCTATTATTTGAAACAATGAGATCAAGATCTCTTAGTCAAAAGAGACCTGTGTACAAAAAATACAAAAGTTGAGAAAAAGAGCCACATAACAAAAAGACACATTATAACACACACAAACTCTGGAATAGTCCTTCCAGATAAATAAAACCTTTAAAGTGTAATCAGAGAATGCAACTGCATATTCTTTTACGTTTTTCATAAGTACAATTAAATTAACACAAGAAAGAACTTAGTATTGTATTTTTACAATATGCTAGTAATAAACAGAAAAAAACGAGTCCTCCCTCCCGCCAGACGTTTCTGCGCAGTGACGTCATAGCCAGAGAAGATGGCGGCTGTGCTGAAGGCGGAAGGTAAAGGAGCTTTAAACAGATTGTTTTACCTCCGAACTCTGTGCTGCTCTCGGCTGTCTGCTCTCGTCTAGCTCGCTCTGTTTTATACGGTATATCTGGAAAGGAGCCACCGCTGGCTGGCTCGGTGTAGCGTGCTGTGACCCGCAAGTGAAGCCCTGCAGCTGGGCTCCGGGACTGCTTTAATCACCGCGGAGGCGAGCCTGTTACCAGCAGCTAGCCGAGCTCCGCCGGTGGAGTTAGACGGCTAGCAGAGCAGCTAACACCCAAACATCCGCACTCGCATCTGAGTTCCCCTCCGAGTGTAGATCACGAGGGCTTGAATAAATACAGCGCTGCGTTAAAACCTGTTGTTGTCTGGGTAACTGTGCTAATTGTTAACGCAAAGGCGTGAAACGTTAGCTTTGACCAGCCAGCTACAGCTGAGCTCCCGCGGGCGGGGTGCTGTGCTCTGCGAGGCGGCCATAGCACCCATGAGAATCCGGGGTCTGAGCCCGGCCTGTGGAGACCGAGCCTGTGTGGGAGGAGGATGGATCCTCTACACGAGAGGCTCAGCGTCATCTGTTATCTGTGAAGCTGCCTCAGTGAGCGTCTTGATGATTAGAACTAAATCAGATATCGATCAAGTGACAGCTGGCATGTTTTCTGTGTGTGTGTGTGACAGCAGGTGATGTTTGGGTTTTATTCACGAATTAATCAAAGAAGTCATTCTGTGGGTTAATCATCACACACTCACACCGTGAAGCTGTTGTTATGTAACTAAACACACTCCTATCCCAACACACACCCACTTTACACGCTCTCCATGTAAAGTGGGTGCAAATTCAGCTGTTGCTAGGCAACAGGGAGCTATTGAAGAAGTGCGTGGCTGTCTGTGTGTGTTTGTGTTTGTGTGGAGCTAGCCAGTTCAGATATCAGATGTGTGTGTTTGCAGCTCTTGTTTGTCATTGATCACACTGATGACCTGTTCTGTGTGTGTGTAGCGGGGCAGTGCAGGCCGCCTTGCCTTGTGTGAGACTCATCCTGCATGGACTCGTCACCATGAGCAACAAGGAGATGGTTTCCCCGGAGACAGGTCAGTCCATCCACCTGCACACAGACAGTTATTGCGTTTGTGTGTCCATCAGATCAATGAGTTCTTCGTTAACGGATTTCTGATTTCCTGCCAGGCCTCACGAGCTGCTGTGTTTGGTGCTGTGTGTCTTACTGTAGGTGTAGCTGGTTGTGTCTTTCATTGTGAGTCAGAGGATCAGTATGTCACTTCTTCTTGCAGTTGAAGTGTTTTAGCTCTTTCTGTCTTCTCATGTATTTGTTTGTGACTGTTTGTCCAGCTGGACTGGCTCTTAAACTTCGCTGTCCTTCTTTTATTATTTATGCTGTTTCTTTGTTATTGTGTCTGTTTTCGCTTTGATATTTGTTGTTATTTACCTTTTTTTTTTTTTTTTTATAAAACTATTAAATAAATGTAAGATTACGTGTGTTTATTCTTATTTATTTAACCGGTTTTGTATTATTGGGTTTTTTGGTTCTGTCTCAGGTATATTATTACTGAATTGTATATTTTAATATTACTGGACCTAGTTTTATTTCAAATAAACAAAGAATTTTATTTTATTACTGATATTTTATTACTATTATTGTTAGTAGTAGTTATAAATTATGCTATATTATTTTTACTTCTACCCCTTTCCTTCAAATCTGTTCTAAAAAGGTTTATTTTTATTGAAGTGAAAAAATGAAAAAATAATTATAAAAATAATTATAAAAATAATTTTTAAAATAATAATTGTAAAAAACAAATATTTCAAGTTTAACATTTATTTACTGATTTAATGTTTTTTAATTATTATTATTATTAATATAAGTTGGATAATATTTTAAGCTTGTTGTCCCCATTAGCTCTTTAGATATTGTCTAAATTTCGTTTTCATGTTGTATTACTTTCATTTTGTTTTTATATATTTACTGTTTAGTTTACTTGATCATTTTAACTTTATGTAAAAAAAAATTGTTAAAAAAATTAAATCATGATTAAACAAAATCATTTCATAGCGTTTATTCATGTTTTAATTCATGTTAAAAAAGTTTAGATATTATACAATTTGTAATAATTATTATTATATGTATATTAACATGTAGTTTTTTTTAAATAATAATAACAAACATCTAGTCGTTCTCTTCAGAGCAACGGCTAGATGTTTGTTTTGGGTTTTTTCAACTAGCTGCTTACGCGTCACTTCCGTCATTAGTCGGTTAAAAGATTTATTTTTGTTTAATTAATGTTAGTGTTGCTAGTGTTGCTAACACTAGCAACACTAACACTAGCAACACTAACACCGCTAGTGTTGCTAGTGTTAGTGTTGCTAACACTAGCAGTGTTGCTAGTGTTAGCAGCACTGCTAGTGTTAGCAACACTAACACTAGCAACACTAACACTGCTAGTGTTAGTGTTGCTAACACTAGCAACACTAACACTAGCAGTGTTAGTGTTGCTATGACGATGTAATGGCGCCCCCTGTGACCTTTGCTCTCTGATGGAAAGCTGTAAATAAGACAGTAAGAAGCCGTTTTGTTGGTGTTCTGTGGTTTTCTGCTCTGTTCACGTGTGAAATGACTCAGTGAAAGGCTGAACGCAGGTCCTGTACTACAGGACGGTATGAAAACAAGAGTGCCTTTAAACATTAAGAATGCAGACATATTAATCTGATGAAAGCAAAGGGTGACCCTGCTGGAGGGCAGACGTTAGGAAGCTCCTCTGAGGGAACATTAGAGACGCTTTGGTTGCCAAGGTGTCTGCAGCTGTTTAATTTGACCTGTTTTAAGTCTTTACCAATGCTGTGTGCAGCTCACAGCGTTACGTCGTGTAGGATTTCATTGTGTGTAATCTGTTTCAGCTACCAGTGACATGGAGATGCAAAGGCTTCAGTCAGATAACGCCCTGCAGACTCACTGTGGTCTGATGATGTTTGCTGCTGTAGAGCTCTGTTGTGTCAGCTGTGTCTCAGTAAACCAAACAGAGAAGAAGTCAGTGCTGCTCTGACTCGGTGACCTCATCCACTAAACTCCGTTTCAGTGTTTCTGAATGCTTTCCTACTTTTAAACTCAGTGACAGTCTGACTTTTTCCTCTTGATGAAATGAATGAGCTCCTGGGTGCTTCGGTAACATATCACGGAACAAGTGTCCCAGTTTCCTGCAGTGCATCAGAGTTATAGTGGGTCCCCGTGTATCTTTACTGGTGGAGGAGGGGTGGGGTTTGTGAGATCTTCAAGCTCGGCTCCTC